TTTCTACACATGAATACTTTAAATGAAGAATCTGAAAACTTTGAGTTGTACCCTGTAGTACAAGACTTATTGACTAGAATGTAGTAGTAAACTTTGTGTGAGTAAGCGCTAAGAAGTTAAAACATATACTTTCTTACTCTACAAGTTTTTTTCAACTTAGGAGATGAATTTAAATTAAAAACACTAGTTTGCCTTACCGTGTAATGAATCGTGTCGGTCCATATGAGCTTCTTTTTCCCATGCCATCCAACTATGAATCTGGCCAAAGGGTTATAATTCCTCAGTCACAAAGAGAAAGCACGTTTACAACAGCAATCTTACAAAACAAAACTAGGATAAGTCCATCTACATAAAATTCCTCGGTCACAGTTACTATGATTACAATTTCAAGGTCACACCTTCACAATTTCCAGCAACATTATTACGCAACTGTAGGATATATGTGTGATAGCCATGACAAATATGAAGCGGTGCAACTGCTCAAGACCTTCATATGACACAAAAGGCTCATGACCCTGCAGAACAGAGTAATTTTCAGATCATCCAAGGTTGTACACTACATTGAGTCTAGTTATGAATCTAGAGCAAACAAAGTTTAAAAGAAAATGCAATAACAAAAAATATTTTTATCAAGAAATACAAAAAGAAGAAAAAAAATTGAATATTAGAGTCAGATATGGATAATTCACATGCCTCTTTGCAGGTATTTTGATTCATGCTATTCAAAATTCTCCTAAATGAGTGAGAAACAGGACTCATCAAAAGTTTTCACTCCTTGGAACCATCATCTTCAAGTTGTTGATCAATTTCAGACCTGGCACATGGAGCAAAAGTGCCATCGTAGAACTTTGATGGAATGCAAATATTGGCGATTGTGCTTGAGGTGGCAGTTAGAAAGAGGGATATGAAACCAAGCAGCATTAACTCTGAAGACAGAAGTTCAAAAGCATCATAAAGAAAGTCACAAATAGGACCAAGAAAAGAGTATGCGAGTCATGTTAATTGATTATTCAACAATTTCCAAGAAGCTGCAGTGCTGCACATAATTTATATGCAACCTTCTTTC